CTCACTATGAAAAATTCATTTTTAGTTGGAGATATTAGGAGTTGTGCTTCAGTTCTGATATGTTGCAAAATATTTTTTGTTGAAGTTAGCTGGAGAAAATTCTTCTGTAATTAAACTACTCTTCATTAGGCATGTTACAGATCTATAATCTAAGTAATTTTTCTTGCTTTTATCGTCATTTCATTCTTCTTAACTCTACAATATTTATGTATTAACCAAGTTTGCCACCGTTTACATACAGTTGGGTTGCAGACTATTACACATTCTGAAACGGTTACTTCCAATTGCTGTTTATCTTCTTCAGGTACAAATTATTTTGGTATTACTTGTTACCTGTTCTGTCCTTGCAATATTTGAAGATTCATGCAAGTAATGTCATCATGTTCCTCCGAAAACTAATGCTCTGATGTTTGACTTGTTTCTGCAGAAAGAAGGGGAATACCTGAGTGGCCATGATGTATTTCTGAGGCGTGTAGCAGATGCTTTCAACAATTTTGCAGAATCCACCGAAAAATCATGCCGTGAAAAGTAAATGCTTTTCTGCATCTATACTCTCATGTTCAAATTAATTTTTGCCAATTATTGTTGTGTAGAATTAGCTTGTAGTGTTCATAAGGTCTTTTGCTCCAACTATCTGGAAACCCAAATGATCCTACCCTTTTTACTCTTTTAGTTTTAGTTCTTTTTTTTGAGAAGGTAACAAGTTTTATAAATTAAGTAGAGAAACCTTTAGCATAAAGATTATGCTAAAGGTTAAAGATAGTCACAAGACCCTCGAAAAAGAGCAAAAACGCAAACCCGGACTTGTGGTAGTTACAAAGACCCAATAATATCCACTATAGACTCTACATTCTCTACCGGAGCTTCTTTACACCAAAAGTGAAACAAAAATATACAATTCGTCTTGATCTTCTGTTCAGAGTTAGCTCTATCTTCAAAGCATCTTGAATTTCTCTCCAACCAAATTGTCCACCAAATACATGCTGGGATCAATCTCCACCAATGCTTCTGCCTCAGTAGAATACCTGGGTCATTCCAACAAGCTAATATTTCTGCAGTTGTCCTAGGTATTGCCCGTTTCACACCTTTCATACTCATGAAAAGATACCACAGCCTACTAGTTACTTTGCAATGTAAAAAGAGGTGGCTGT